TCCCTGGGGGGTTTTGGGGGTCCTGAGGGGGTTTTGGGGGGATCCTGGAGGGTTTTTGGGGGCTTTCAGGGGTTTTTGGGGGGTTGCAAGGAGTGGTTGAGGGGTCAGGAGAGGGTTTTGGGGGGTTGTGGAGGGTTTTTGGGGGATTTTGGGGGGTTCTGAGGGAGTTTCGGGAGGTTGTTGAGGGTTTCTGAAGGGTCCTGGAGGGTTTTGGGGATTCTCAGGAGGTTTTGGGGGTCGTGAGGGAGTTTTGGGGGGTTCTGAGGGGGTTTTGGGGGATCCTGGGGGGTCTTGGGAGGTTTTGGGGGTGTCCTGAAGGGGTTTTTGGAGGGTTTTGGGAGCTCCTGATGGATATTTGGGGGGGGGGTCTCATTTCTGGGGGTCCCTTCCCGCAGCATCTGCGCCCACCAGACCCCGAACGGGCGGAAGGAGAAGCGGCGCCGGGAGTTTTGGGAGAAAAAAGCGGAAAAAGGGATTTTCCCTCGGGGGGAGCGGCGGCTCCGGGCCCGGCTCAGCCGGGGGGAGACCCCCACCCCCAAAAAACCCCCCGAATTGGGGCGCTCGGACCCCCAGAGGGGCTTCTACGACATCTGGGGCGAGCACAGTGAGTCTGGGGGGGAAATTTGGGAGCAATTCTGGCGGATTTGGGGGCGGAACGATTTTAACCATCTCGGAAAAATTTGGGAGGGATTTGGGGGGCTCTTTTTGGGGTGGGGGAGGTTTGGGGGGGGTTAAAGGCACTTTTTAGGGGTGGGGGGATTTTGGGGACCCCCTCTCTGAGCTCTGTGTGCCTCCCCCAGACCCCCTGGACGCCCCCTTGGCCGGGCAGGACCCCTGGTACCTCCAACAGACCAAGAAGCTGCGAGTTCAGGTTGGGACCCCCCAAAACCCACCTTGAGACCCTTCAAAAACCCTCCACAATCCCCCCAAAAACCCTTCAGAACCCCCCAAAACCTTTCAAAAACCCTCCACAATCCCCCAAAACCCTCTCAGAACCCCCCAAAACCTTTCAAAAACCCTCCACAATCCCCCAAAACCCTTTCAGAACCCCCCAAAACCTTTCAAAAACCCTCCACAATCCCCCAAAACCCTCTCAGAACCCCCCAAAACCT